TACTGGCTAATCTGTTTCTTTGTTGTTATGAAAAATGTTGGATGGATGATTGTTCGGAAGAATTCAAATATATTTATTATAACAGATATGTGGATGACAAATAGAAATAACACATTCAAGCATAGTTTCTCTGATTTCTCCTAGCCTGTTCCCTTGGCTGTGGTTTCGCTAGTAGATAGGGACAGTGGGAATCTCGTTAATCCTTTCATGCGCGTCACTAATTAGATGACGAGGCATTTGGCTACCTTAAGAGAGTCATATCAAACTAACATTTCTAGATGTTTTGGTTGACAATAAAAATGGGATTTTTAAATGTAAAACACATAAAAAACACCTTTATAGACTTATAGGGTGCAGTTAATAAACTGTTTATTTCTTTACCATTTAGAGGAGCACAATACTTTGAAATAAAAAACTTGATTTCATTTTTAAAAGTCCAAACTACAAATTCGATAAATGTCTGTACAGAAACCGATGTGTATAATGAAAGAAGTATTTAATGTGAAAGATAAAAAAACAAAATTGTTGAATTGTAAGATTGTTTATCAGTATAGCTGTTCTAGATGTAATTCTAGGAATATAGGTTCTACAATTAGAACCTTAGAATCCAGAATTAGAGAACACACTGATATGACGTCACTGATTAGTTTTATTTTTCCTGTGTTATCTTGTCATCTCGTTTTTTTTTTTCGAGTACTGCTTTGTTTCCGTAGAGTATTGGCCTTGGTTGTGAAAATTGAATCTGCCAAACGTATTTATCCTCCAACTAATTTCATTGTTATAATACAAATGCATTATTTAATACTTCAAGGTTTATTGTATTAACCCCCACTAAGTTGTTTATAGCTAATATCACTGTCTGTCTTTTGTCCGCAGTACCAGCTTACGTGATTATTCTGATTGTGATTGGGGTTTCAATTCTGTCTCTATGTGTTTGTTACTGCTGCATCAAACGGTGGTGTCGCAAAAGGAAAAAGGACAGCAAGAAAGGACTGAAGGGGGTGGTTGATCTAAAGGGCGTTCAAATTTTGGGAAATGCACACAAAGAAAAGGTAAAATTACCATGAATTTTATTCTAAATGTAAAATTGTGTAATTTTCTTAAAAGAGTGAGAAAAGGCTGCATTTGAATGCACACTACTGTTATTATGACAGGTTTCATAATTACAATTTGTACAATCATAATTTGTCACTTTTGACAAATAATTTGAATTAAACCTAAAATTTCATATCTAAGTCATCACGAACAAGAAAGTTTGTTAGAGAAATTTTACGATAAACTTGTTTGAATGTAATTCGCCCAGTTAAATAATGTTTACCGTAAGACATGGGTTACACCTTTTGTCATCCTAACATTGTTGACCTAATGAGCTCTGGTTTTGAAGAAAGGCCTCGTCGGCAATGGATATGGCAGATATTGTGTGGTTGACATATTGTAGTAAACTATTCTTTACTTCCACTCTTAAGTTCTTAGAATGTATAAATATTTCATGACATATTGAATTACAAGTATCTAAAACACATGTTTCAAGGAAATGGCCCGGCTTGGATAGGTGGTTAGGGCGCTCGACTCGCAATCTGCGGGTTCGAAAAACCCGTTCCACCAAACATGCTCGCCCTTTCAGTCTTGGGGGCATTATAATGTGACGGTCAATCCCACTATTCATTGGTAAAAGTGTAGCCCAAGAGTTGGCGGTGGGTGGTGATGACTAGCTTCTTCTAGCCTTTCACTGCTAAATTACGAACGGCTAGCGCAGATAGCCCTCGTGTAGCTTTGCGCGAAATTCATAAAAAACAAGCCAAGGAAATATGAGCTTTAACAGATGGTGTAGTTATCTAAAAAAAGTGTTTGTATGTTAGTTACCTTGGTTTCTCACCTAACTGGTTAGCTCATGAGTCACATAAGGTGCCGTTTAGGCTCAAAATGCAAAAACACCAAATATTCCATTAAAGATACTAATAACCTTTAGTTTAACAGCTTTCTAGTTTGCCTGTTTAGCTCACAGTATTGACGAGTTATATACCACTCTATGAGGCGTGAGAGTTTACTGGTATAAGTTTCCTGAAAAGGATGATTGCTCATTTGAAAACATATTCATAAAACGAAAGGCATATTAATGTTCAAAACTCTGTTGTTAATACTTAAGAATGTTTTAGGTAATATACCTTTCTATGTACAAAGACTGTATTGTTGTTGTTTCCCCGAAAGGGGGGCCGAAGGCCGATTGAAGGGGTCACCAGTTTTAACCACTCTCATCACTATACAGTTGTGATTTGTCTGTCAGTCACTAGACACTAAAATAACGTCACATAAGGGATGCTTAACGTGCGCATGTCAAGGATCACAAGAAGAACAAGAACAATCAGAGAGATTGCATTCTCTCGCCCCGCCGCTCATTTTTTGAGATTTCATGCGTTTATATTGGATAAACAGATTATCAGATTCAGAATGATAAACGATCCGAATCATGTTTTTTAGTGTGATGAGGAGTCTCAACCTTAATGTGCCCATGAAATTTAGTACAAATCCGATCACACTTTACAGAGTTATTAACTCAAAACCGCGAAAATGCCATATCTTCCCATTATAAAAAAATGCTTTGGATCCGGAACAAATTTGGGGACTGTCCCATATTGACTTCACATCTCGTGTAAAATTTTGTCTACACCGGTCAATTAGTTTTCGAGAAACGTGCGAGGAAATAGAGAGAAATAGACACACACACAC